GCAGCAGCAGCAGCATCAGCAACAGCAGCAGCAACAGCAGCAGCAGCAGCAGCAGCAGCGGCAGCAGGAGGGATGGGTGTTTGATAACTCAGCATCAGCAGAGCCGCCTGGAGGATTTGTTTACGAATACAGTTGCAGCAGCAGCAGCAGCTGCTGCTGCTGCTGCTGCTTCAGGTGTACGTACACCTCAGCTGCCGCCTCAAGTTGAGGTAATCGACAAAACGCAAACAGTTTTAGAATTGTTTGCGAGGAGAGCGAATAATAAACGCGCAAAGTTGCAGGTGAGGCTCCTTCTTTGCTAGGGTTTAGGGTTTAGGGTTTAGGGTTTAGGGTTTAGGGTTTAGGGTTTGGGGTTTAGGGTTGTATATATACAACTGCAGAGGCTGAGTATGTTTAGACAGCGAGAAGCATAGGGCGTTATATATTTTTGTATGTGCATTAAAAAGAAGATAATAATATACTACAATTTAATATATAATTGGGTTTGTTTTATTTTACTGTTTTTATTATTATTTTATTTGTTGTTGCTGCTGCCTCCTCCAGATCTCTCTTGCTTCTCTAGAAGTTTTATCTTCGTCACTTGCAGCAGCAAACTGCAAGCGGCTAGCAGTTGAGAGAAGCCTCCGCTTCCTCCCCCAAGTCCCACAAACCCTAAACCCTAAACCCTTTAACCCTAAACCCTAAACCCTAAACCCTAAACCCTAAGCCCTAAACCCTAAACCCTGCGCTTGTAGTTGCCGCCGTAACCCCCTCTAGCTGAAACTGCGGCGAGTATAATGAAACCCTAAACCCCAGGCTGCGCCTCGGCGCCACCAGGATGCGAAGGGTTTAGAATTAAGGGTTTAGGGTTTAGGGTTTAGGGTTTGGCGACGCAGGATCCGTGGGTCTCTCACCTAAAGGCTGTTCTTCAAAAAGGTATGGGTGGAGATGCTGCTCAAAAAACCCTCTCCAAAGTAAAGGCGCAACTGCGAAAGGCTCTGCAGAAGGTACCTCGAGGGTTTAGGGTTTAGGGTTTAGGGTTTAGGGTTTAGGGTTTAGGGTTGAAAGTTAAGGGTTTAGACTATGGGGTTTAGGGTTTAAGTGTTAGGGTTTAGGGTTTAGTGTTGTGGATTTCGTGTTTTAGGTTGCTTGTGATATATTTCTTGCTGCAGGAACAACAGCAGCAGCAGCAGCAGCAGCAGCAGCAGCAGCAGCAGCAGCAGCAGCAGCATTTCTTTTCTTCCCCACTCCGTCGCCAAGGCTCTCTCCCAGTATTGGGTTTAGTTGGATACAGCAACAGCGGCAAGACGACGCTGCTAAACTTTCTCTGTCTTTCTTCGCTTCCTGTAGCAGACGCACTTTGCGTTACGCTCGGCACTGCCCTCCGCCGCTGCAAATTCAAACCCTTCCCAACACATCACCGGGGCCCCCCATTCAAAGGGGGGCCCCTAGAGGGGCCCCCCTCAGTTCAAGGGGGGCCCCTAGAGGGGCCCCTAGAGGGGCCCCTAGAGGGGCCCCCCCCACTGCAAGGGGGGCCCTTGGAGGGGGCCCCCACCTTACAGGGGGGGGCCCCCTTGCAGGGGCCCCCATCCCAACGGCCCCCTATAGGGGCCCTCATCTCAGAGGGGCCCCCTTTGGGGGCCCCCGGTTCACAGGGGCCCCCTGCTGCTGTCTCTACCTCAAGGGGGCCCCCTAAAGGGGCCCCCCTAGAGCCCGCTGAGCTGGAGGCCCCTGGAGGGGGCCCCACCCCATTAGGGGCCCCCACTCCACAGGGGGCCCCTATTGGGGGCCCCACTCCACAGGGGGCCCCTCCAGGGGCCCCCATTTCAGTGGGGCCCCCTTTAGGGGCCTCCAACTCACAGGGGCTCGTTGTAGGGGCCCCCCCCTCTAAGGGGGCCCCCTTGCAGGGGCCCCCGTTAGAAGGCGTTTGTAGTGTGGAGGGCAGTGAAGGTTGGGGTGTATGGGGAGAAGTGCTGGTGATGGATTCGATAGGTTTAATTGAGGGTTTGTCAGGGATAGGTAAGAGGCTTATTACAGAGAGTTTCTTTTCTGTTGCTGCTGCTAGCGATTTGCTGCTGCTGGTTGTTGATGTAATACACCCCAGGTGGAAGCAGCGAAGAGAATACGCACTACAGGTCCTCAAAGAGGTGCAGCAGCAGCAGCAGCAGCAGCGGAGACGGAACAACATACAGACAGACTGCAGCAGCAGCTACGCAGGCAGCAGCAACAGCAGCAGCAGCGACAAATGCGGCAGCGACAGCATCCATACTAACACCAACAGCAACACCAGCAGCAACAGCAGCAGCGACGAATGCAGCAGCAGCAGCAGCAGCAGCAGCAGGAAGGAGCTGCGTGTGATAGAGGTTTGGAGTAAGATAGATTTAATTAAAGACGAAAAAAAACTTAAAAATATTTTGCAGCAGCTGCCCCCCAATGCAGTGCCAGTCAGCGCTGCAGACGGCACAGGCATGGCCGAACTAATGCAGGCACGCCAAACCCTAAACCCTAAACCCTAAACCCTAAACCCTAAACCCTAAACCCTAGCCTCTAAACCCTAAACCCTAAATGATAAACCCTAAGTGATAAACCGTAAATGATAAACCCTATCTGAGGGAGGCGTGCAGCAGCTTTTCTTTGTGTGGGAGGCGACGATACTTTAGGGTTTAGGGTTTAGGGTTTAGGGTTTGGGGGGTATGCGCAGGTGTTGCGAAGGGCCCTAAAGGAGACTGAAACCCTTAAAGAGGCAGCAGTTTTCTTCCCAGTTGAATCTGCTGCTGAAGTGCTGCCCTATCTACACAAACATACCACGGCAAGTATCTGCAGCAGCAGCAGCAGCAGCAGCAGCAGCAGCAGCAGCAGCGATGCGACTGTCAACAAGCCCTGCTTCTGCTGCTGTTCTAACAGCAGGGTTTGTTGCAGCAGCCGCAGCAGCAGCAGTGGCCTCAGCAGCAGCAGCAGCAGCATCAGCGACGGAAACAGTAGCATCAGCAGCAGCATCAGCAGCAGCAGCAGCAGCATCAGCAGCAGCAGCTTGTGTGTATGTGTATGAGCTGCTGCAGGTTTTTCCCGGGTCTCTGTCTGCTTTGAACTCATCTTACTTTCGTTTGGTTGTCTCCGCCTACCCTCAAACCCTCGCCAAAGCAGCAGCAGCACTACCCGGCCTTCGCGTGGAGTGGCAACCCTAAACCCTAAACCCCAAACCCCAAACCCTAAACCCCAAACCCTAAACCCCAAACCCTAAACCCTAAACCCCAAACCCTAAACCCCAAACCCTAAACCCTAAAACCGTAGACAGTGGAAGATGCAGAACACAAAAGTCAAACCTCATTCCGCCTAGGGCTGCGGACTTAAGGTTTAGGGTTTAGGGTTTAGGGTTTAGGGTTTAGTGGCTGGCGCCATCACCAACCCCCAAGGAGATGATTTTAATGCATTAATAAAAATTTTGTTAAATTTTTATAGACAAATAAAAAACTTTTTTTGTAAGTATTCTGCAAGCATTATATAAATGCAGATATATATATATATATATATATATATATGCATGCATATATATATATATATATGT